GTGGTGACCACGGGAGAGTTATTATTATTATTATTATTATTATTATTATTATATTATATAACAGTATATTTTTAAGTATTTCATATACAGAAACAAAGAGTTCGACCAAATGAAGGAAAATTATAACGTGGCATCTTTAAATAATGAATTCTTTTAAATAAATCAATATTAAAATGAGCAAAAATAGCAATTGAATTTAATTTAAATAGATTTTTCTTATGTTTACTTTCACTCGAATAACAATTTTCACGTAATGTTTGTCAATAAAATGTCAATAATAATTAGAAAAGTTTCAAACAAAAGAAACCAGAAAATTATAATATAAATTAAAATTCTAAGTAACAATGATGCTTCGAGCATTTCTTAAATGAAGAAAATATAAATAAAAAACTAAATATAGGCTATTAAAATTTCTATTTATGTAGTAAAATGGCAGGAAAATCTTCCTTGACAAGTGTGCAACGTGAAATAAGAACGACCATAGAATATATAGAAAATAATAATAAAAATATAGGAGTCAGTTCTCTAACATCTTCACAACTCAATTTTAGCTAAAAAATAAGGAAAATAATTCAATTTTTTCTTCCTGAAAATAAGTTTTATTGCAATAAACTCCATCAGAATTATATAAATCATCATTTAAAGAATATTTGCGATATGTTTTTACGATAAAAATCGAATAAAAGAATAAATAATTTTACTTTATTTTCTTCAAATTATTATATTTCCTTTTAATAAATTATTTATAATTTCTATCTCTGAACATTATTTAAATAAGAGATATCATTCGTATCTTTAACTCGCGATGATAAAATAATAATTCATGAATAAGTTATTGCAGAATGATATATGATGATACATTTCGCTTTGAAGTCTTCTCTGAAACATTGATAATCTTAATTTATGAAATGATAAATGCCTAACTTTCTAATTATCATTATTAAAATAAAATACTAAATTTTATAAATATTTTAAAATTATTTAAATTGTAATAATCACAAAAATTTCTCTAATGTAATCAACACTAATAAGAGTTAGCGACATTTTTTTCGCTAATTTAAAACTTTGAATGACAATTTATACCTGTATAAATTAGCGAAATAATTTATTTTTTATAATATTAAGACACGGCCACACTCGTTAAAAGAGAAGAGAGGATTTTTCTGGAAATTTTACACAAATAATTTGTTAACTTTCTTGCTTTCTTTGCCTGATTTTTTTCTCCTTGACGCCCGAAATTGGCAGGGAATTTGCCCCGTAACACCCGACTCACATGCCCATGATTAAGCATTAATAAACAGCTAAATCCAGAATTCCGTACAAGTTCATCCTTTCTCATTGATTAATGCCCGATTAATCAATAATTTTACCAGGCAATTTTAAAAAATAAATCCCAAATAGATTATATATTTCACTTTTATAATTACTTTTATCAATTTGCATAATTCCCATTNACTAGTCTCCATTTATGTATTAATGTAAAGAAAACCCGGAAAACTTTCACGTGGCCAGCCCGTTGATCGGGCGTGAATCCATTCGCAACTTTTGTTTAGTGGTTTTATCCACTCAGACATTGGTGGGTTTTAAAATTGTTATTATTAGGCTATTAATGTTTGATGTGTACAATTCTGGGACTGACTCATAGCTACTGTTTATATAGATACTGTATATCACTAAAGAGTATAGACCAGGGATGGCGAACCTTTTTGAGTCCGCGTGTCATGTAGTAAGCATACTTATCTTTTAA